AATTGGAAAACGCGCAGCCGGGAGAGAGTTTTGAGGGTTTGGCCCACAGCGTCAACAACACGTATTTGTTGCTGCTGGACCATGCGCAGCTTGTGAGCGGCGTAGTGGCCCCTAAACCCTAAACTAGGGTTTAGGGTTTAGGGTTTAGGGTTTGACTTTGGCAGCGCAGCTTGGGGCGTGCGGTAGAGACCGCACTGCTTCGAGCCTAGGGTTTGGCGATTTACCTTCAGCATCCAGCGCTGGCGCCTCTGCACATGAGTAGCTCCGATCTGGGGTTTGGGGTTTAGGGTTTAGGGTTTAGGGTTTAGGGTTTAGGGTTTAGGGTTTGTGCGGTTCAGTACTTCTTGGACACTCACGAGTCTTGGCTGCCTTCCTTCACAGCTGAGGACGGCTTGGTCCTGAACAGCTACGTGCCTTCAATGCTGGTGAGCCATTTTAGGGTTTAGGGTTTAGGGTTTAGGGTTTAGGGTTTAGGGTTTAGGGTTTAGGTTTAGTTCAGTGGAGGTGCGCCCAACGGTAGCGAGACAGTCCGCCCCTCTTCGCAAACCCCACTAGCCTCAGCAGCAGCAGCAGCAGCATAGCAGCAGCAGCACAGCAGCAGCAGCGCAGCAGCAGCAGCGCAGCAGCACAGCAGCAGCAGCACAGCAGCCCCCTGCAGTAGCCCCTGCCCAGAGCAGCACGTCGTCCAGCAGCAGCAGCAGCAGCAGCAGCAGCAGCAGGTCTCACAGAGCAGCTACGGGGACGGCGCGAAGCGCAGCAGCAGCGCCGCCCCCTCCGCAGCAGCAGCAGCAGCAGCAGCAGCAGCTGCTGCTGCTTGTGCTGCAGCGCGTGCCCCTGGAAGGCCCCCGAGTCCGCTTTTGCTTCTCCATTCCCGAAAAAGGGAGGTTTGCTTTGCTGCTGCTAAACGGAGACGGACTGGACTTGAAGCTGCAAGGCACTGTCTCCTTTTGGGGGCCGCAGCAGCAGCACTTGTCGCTGGAGCAGCAGCTGCTGCCGCAGGCAGCAGCAGCACTCATGGCCCTCAACCTCCTCGCGTAAACCCTAAACCCTAAACCCTAAACCCTAAAACCTAAACCCTCCACGAGGGCACCGGCACTCGCGGGGCGAGCTCGAGGCGCCACCGCGCGGCCTGCAGGCGCGCTGCGGAGGCGCGGGAGGGCAGTTAGGGTTTAGGGTTTAGGGTTTAGGGTTTAGGGTTTAGGGTTTAGGGTTTGTGGTTTGCAGGGCCGTGGTGTTGTGCGTGTGCCAACTGAGTCTGTGGAGGGGCCGAAATGGTTTTGTTTCTTTTTTATTTATTTTTTATTTCTTTCTTGCTGCTCTCGCGTTTGGACTGGACTGGAAACAAGCGGCCATTGTCCAAACCACCGGAAAGAGACCCGCGGCCCTTTGGTGAAGGTTTAGGGTTTAGGGTTTAGGGTTTAGGGTTTGGGGTTTAGAGGGCTCAGGGGTTAGGCTGGAGACAAGCTGCTATTATGCAATCCAGGGGAAAAAGACTCGCGGAACTCTGGTCAGAGACGAGCGTTTAAGGTTTAGGGTTTAGGGTTTAGGGTTTAGGGTTTAGGGTTTAGGGTTTAGAGGTTAACAAGCCACGGGGAAGAGACCCGCTGCCCTCTCGTCAGAAACGAGGGTTTAGGGTTTAGGGTTTAGGGGTTACGGTTTAGGGTTTAGGGTTTAGAGTTTAGTGGGGCTCTGGGATCAGGGTTTAGGGGTTAGACTACAGCTATTGTAGAAGCCACGGGAAAAGGACCAGTGGCAGTCAGCAGCGAGGGTTTAGGGTTTAGGGTTTAGGGTTTAGGGTTTAGGGTTTAGGGTTTGCGTTGTTTTTGCAGGGTGGCGTCTCGTCTGATGCGGAAGCTGCAGGACGTGCTGCAGCTGCTGGTCTTCATTTTTGTCTCTTTAGGTAATCACTTTAGGGTTTAGGGTTTAGGGTTTAGGGTTTAGGGTTTAATTTTGAACAATTCAGTAATTTTTTAATTTAAAAAACTCATAAAGACATATAAAGCAGCAGCAAACGCTTTGCTGCTGCATCTGGCTGCTGCTGCTGCCTCCCCACGCTGGGGGCCCCTAAGCAGCATCTAGGGGCCCCTCGGGGGCCCCTCGGGGGCCCCTTGGGGGCCCCTCGGGGGCCCCTTGGGGGCCCCTTGGGGGCCCCTCGGGGGCCCCTCGGGGGCCCCCGGGGGCCCCCAAGCAGCACGTGGGGGCCCCAGGGGCCCCGAAGCATTGAGGGGCCCCCACGGGGGCCCCTAGGGGCCCCCAGGCGTGTAGGTGTCCCCAGGGGCCCCCAAGTATCTGGGGGGCCCCCCGGGGCCCCCACTTATCTGGAGGGCCCGCAGGGGCCCCCAAGCATCTGGGGGGCCCCCAGGGGCCTCGGGGGCCCCCAGCCCCCAGGGGCCCCCCAAAGGGGTTATGGGAACTTTTGGGGCCTTAGGGGCCCCCTGAGGGCCCCCAGGAGGTTTGTGGGGGCCTCTGCTGGACCCTAGGGTTTCAAAAGGGTTTTGGGGGCCCCTGAGGGTTTAGAAGGGTTTGGGGAGACCTCTAGGGTTTAGAAGGGTTTTGGGGGGCTTTATGCGGGTTTGCCGATGCCATTTTGTGCTTCAAATGGTCAATTCCTGTTTTTCAGGGTTTAGGGTTTAGGGTTTAGGGTTTAGGGTTTAGGGTTTAGGGTTTAGGGTTTAGGGTTTGCTGCAGGCTTTCGCATCGTGCGGCAGCGGCTGTCGCGGCTGGAAATTCAGTTTGTTGCAGGGCTTGGAGTCATATCTCTCTATTTGGGGGTTTTCGAAGTGCTGCTGGGGGGTTTCCAGGTAAACCCTAAACCCTAAACCCTAAACCCTAAACCCTAAACCCTAAGCCCTACGTGCTAGACCCTAAACCCGACACGCTGAACCCTAGACGCTAAACCCTACGCGCTGATGCCCGCTTTGGATCAGGGCTTGGCAGATGTGGATTTCGCTCGAGAAAAGCTAGGGTTTAGGGTTTAGGGTTTAGGGTTTAGGGTTTAGGGTTTAGGGTTTTCTTTCGTGTTTCTGCCATCGGGATTGTTTTTAATTTCTAATTCTGCATTATCTCTTTCTAACAATTTGTCTCACCTTTTGCTGCTGCTGATTATCTAAATTAAAGCTTTCATGAATATCCCAAACCCTAAACCCTAAAAAGTGGTTCTCGAAACCCTAGGGGCCCTCAAAACCCCTTTTAAAACCCTAGGGGGCCCCCAAGACCCTGGGGGCCCCCCGAGACCCTGGGGGCCCATGGGGGCCCCCAACGAGGGTACTAGGGTGCCCCAAGGGGGCACCCCAAAACCCTTTTTTAGGGTCTGGGGCCCCCCTTTGGGTGGGGAAGAAAAGCAGCAAAGCAGCAGCAGCAGCAGCAGCAGCAGCAGCACCAGCAGCAGCACCAGCAGCAGCAGCAGCAGCAGCAGCAGCAGCAGCAGCAGCAGCGCTGGGGTGTTTTGAGTTCAGGAAACGAGATATATATTTCATGCTGCGGGTTATGTGAGGGTTCTGATAGCCATTCATTCCAACATTGTTCTCCTCCATGTAAACCCTAAACCCTAAACCCTAAACCCTAAACTCTAGGCGCGCCGCAGGGCCCGAAACCGGGACCTACACTCGCCGCGGCGGCTAAACCCTAAACCCTAAACCCTAAACCCTAAACCCTCAGTCTAATGCGGGTCCTCGGGAGGGTTTGAGGAGCGCACAAGGGGAGCTTGGCGGTCCCGTGCGGCAGGGGTTTAGGGTTTAGGGTTTAGGGTTTGGGGTTTTGCCGCAGAACCAAATCGCAGACTCGAGTCTTTCCCCTGCTGTTGCGGAGCTCTACCCAAAACTTGCGGCTTACCAGTAAGGGTTAGGGTTTAGGGTTTAGGGTTTAGAACCTAGGGTTTAGGGTTGGGGACGGACCATGAGCTTGCTGCTGCTGCTGCTGCTGCTGCTGCTGCTGCTGCTGCTGGGCCTTCATCTGCTGCTGCTGATCAAGTGAGGTGTATAGACAGCTGGGGCCCAAGAGGCGCAGAAGATGCCTAAACCCTCGAAAGGGGTTTTGGGGTGTACGTACACCTGGAGTGTCTTGGAGTGTGTGGGGTGTACAGACACCCGGGAGTGTGTGGGGTGTTTAGGGTGTACAGACACTTGGAGAGTGTGGGGTGTATAGACACCTGAGACTGTGTGGGGTTTGTAGACACTGGAAGGGTGTGGGGTGTACATACACCTGGAGTGTGTAGGGTGTACATACACCTGGAGTGTGTGGGGTGTATATACACCTGGGAGTGTATAGGGTGTATATACACCTGGAGTGTGTGGGGTGTATATACACCTGGGAGTGTGTGGGGTGTACGTACAGCTGGAGTGCGTGGGGTGTACGTACACCTCGAGAAACTGGGGTGTACGTACACCTCGAGAAACTGAGGTGTACATACACCTGGAGTGTGGGGGGTGTACATACACCTGGAGTGTGTGGGGTGTACATACACCCTAAAGCGTTTGGGGTGTACGTACAGCTGGAGCGTTTGGGGTGTACATGCACCCTAAAGCGTTTGGGGTGTACGTACACCTGGAGAGGGCGTGGGGAGTGGGCAGTGTGCTGCGCAGTGGGGTGTACAGACAGCCGGGCTTTGTGCATGCGTTTGCAGGCGTTTTCGTTGGTTATTTTTTGGATTTTTGTTGAAGCCAGTTTTTTCAGTTTTCTTCAAAGTTTCTCTTTTGGGGCCCATTTACGAGCAGCTGCTTTCTTGGGAAGAATACATCTTCGTCCTCGTCGAAAATGCTGCCGACTTTGCTGTTCTTGCTGCAGTCAGACGCTGCTGCTGCTGCTGCTGCTGCTGCTGCTGCTGTTGCTGCTGCTGCTGCTGCTTTTTGTTCCGCCTCTGCTGTGTGTGGTTTGCTGGTCTGCCTCTGCTGCTGCCTCTTCCAGTCCTCTGCTGCTGCTGCTGCTGCTGCTGCTGCTGCTTTTTCCTATCCGCTGCCGCATCTGCTGCTGCTGCTGCTGCTGCTGCTGCTGCTATCTTTTGCAGAAAGCGTTTTGCCTTTTTATTTTTGTTTTCTTTTAATTTCTTTTTCATCTTTTTGTTTTTTTTCCCCCGCAGCTTTGTTGGGACTTCGCGCCCCCGAAGTCCTTCAAGGTGTTACAGGTGAGGCTGCGGTGTACGTACACCTGAGCACCTGGGAGCGCGCGCGTCGTTTCTGGACTCTTTCTGAGGAATTAATTCATTTATTTGTTTTTAAATGCAAATAAATGAATTAATTTTGGAAATTAATTCATTTATTTGCTTTATTTGCGCAGATTATGAACTCCGAGACGGAAAACCGAAACTCCGCGCCGAGAGAACTGGAGTGGGAGGACTGAGTTGGGGTGTATGTACAGCTCGCGCGCGAACCCCGGGGTGGTTGCATGCGCAGTTTTTCAATTATAAATATTTATTGAGGAATAAATGAATAATAATAAATAAATAAGCGAAAAGGTGTTGTGAAAATGAAATAAAATGCACTTATTTACTCCTTCAACTGTCTTTTCTTCTGTAGCAGATCTTCTGAAATGAACTTTCCAAAAACTGCCAGCGGCTGTTTGCTGGGGTGTCTAGACAGCTTTCCAAGAAGCCAGAGTCCAAAAAAAGAACTTTCATTTTCATTTGTAGATCACAAATAAAATAAAAAGTTGTTTATTTATTTTCCCTTTTTAAATGCCTTTTTAGACGAATTAAATTAATTAGTTCTGCATATTTCAAAACAAATTAAACTTGTTATTTAGTTTTGCATTTTGTCCGCCTTTTGCTGCACATTTTGTTTTTGGAAAATGGAAAATGCATTTAAATGCATTTAAATGAATTGAAAAATAAATCCAATTAATTCAATTCATTTAAATGCATTTAAATGAATTGAAAAATAGATCCAATTAAATCCAATTCAAAATATTTCATTCCATTCGCCCTGGTGGTTTCAAAAACGAAAAGAAAACGGCGGAAACAGACAAGACACCGGCACCTAAACCCTAAACCCTAAACCCTAAACCCTAGCGACTTTTGGGCCGTCGGGAGAGGATGCTTGGCGAAGTCTTTGGCCGCCCTGTGCCTCTGCGCCTCTAAACCCTAAACCCTAGTTGGCAGCAGCGAGCGCTAAACCCTAAACCCTAATTTTCGGCGCTGAGCTGTAAACCCTAAACCCTAGTTGAGAGCACCGAGCTCTAATCCCCGAACCCTCGTTAACAGCACCTAACCCTAAACCCTAAACCCTAAACCCTAATTTTGGGCCCCGAGCTATAATTCCTAAACCCTAGTTGACAGCGCGAGCTCTAAACCCTAGTTGACAACAGCGATCCCCAAACCCTAGTTGACAGCAGCAGCACCGAGATGTAAACCCTAAACCCTAAACCCTAGTTGACGGCACCAAGAGCCCAAACCCTAAACCCTAGTTGAGAGCGGTGCGGTGCAAACCCTAAACCCTAGCTGACAACGCGGCGGGTACACACAGCGGTTAATTGGGTTTCAAATTAGGGTTTAGCAAAACTGGAAAAGAAATTAGGGTTTAGAAGAAGAAGACAGCGAGGCGAAGAAGAAGAAAACACTCGAGGGTTTAGGACGAGGGTTTAGGAAAACCCTGAGGGTTTGATTTCAATATCTTTGCGGAATTTGCTGGCGAGCTTTCCCGGGTTTTCTGCTGCTGGCGCTGCTGCTGGGGCTTCCAAAAGGCCCACTTGAGTGTTAAAAAGCAAAAAGAAAAGAAATAATAAATAAATAAAAGTGAAAGTTCCTTTTTTGGCGGTTTGGGGGCGCGGCGGCGGCCCGCGGGTTGCGGTGTATCGATGCTGGGGTGTCTATACACCCCAGCGCGGCGGCGCGGAGGCGGCGAGCGGCTCCGCGTCGCCTCTGAGGCTTTCAAAAGAATTAAAAGATAAAAAAAAGGAAATAATTTGCGAAAAAGGATCTTTTGCGGACTTTCCGCGGCGCTTTCCTCGTCGCTGGACGGGCGGCGCCGAGAGGTGTCTGCGTTGAGGTGTATGTACACCCGGGAGCTGCCTGTACACCCCAACTAGCTGCTTCGCAAAAGCCGCGAAAGCTGGAGCTCTCAAAAGCACTTCATTAAACGCTTTTAGGGTTTAGCAGCAGCAGCGCGGGCGCGAAGAAGGAGGGGCCCCGGACCGCTGCCGCTCCTGCAGCAGCAGCAGCAGCAGCAGCAGCAGCAGCGGCGCTGCTGCTGCTTCTCGCGCCGCCGCTGCAGCAAATTGAGTTCTCTTTGAACTTTTGAAGTGGATTTGCTTTTGGCTTTTGCGGCTTGGCGTTGGAAGCAGCTGTATAGACACCCGAGCGGCGGCAGGCACTCCGGGTGTATGTACACCTGGGCTTTTCCGGCGGTTTGCTGCTGCACTTGCCGGCAGGTCTTCCGCGTGGCTTTTGGGTTTAGGGCCTTTGCTGCTGCTTCTCTCGGAGCCTTTCGCGAAGATGTGCGGCCACGACAGCAGCAGCAGCAGCAGCAGCAGCAGCAGCAGCAGCAGCAGCAGCAGCAGCAGCGGGCGGGA